CCAAAATCAAACTTCAATTTTTTTAATTAAATTTTAAAATAGGCTTTAAATTGATATCTCTATTTTATTTTTGAGAAAATCATTGTATTATGAAAAAAGATTCTTATGAGTCTAAACAAAAGCTTTTTTTAAGGCGATTAATTGTATAACATTTTAAACTAAATTACTTAATTCAACCAATGTATTCTCTACAATACATGTGCGACGAATTGTTTTGCGATGAATTGTCGTGCGACGAATTTATTGCGACGAATTGATCGGTCACCATACATTCTACTTATAATTTTCTGTAAGCAATTATAAACGTTGTAATTTATGTAATTGTCTATGGGAAACTCGTATAACTATCAATTTCCAGTCAATGACTGTTGTCTTAAAAGCAGGCTGCTCAGTCATATACCTTAATTTAAAATTTAGAAGTGTTTAGTTGTTTTTTTCTTTTTTTTCCAACACATCAATAATGCATCACTCATTTGTGTTGCTTTGTGCCATTTTCTCTATATATTCTTCCACGACAGATAATCACATTTGTCTTGGAGAAAAGCAGAGAGAGCGCTAAATGGAATATTTTTTTTTCTTTGAGAACGACAGAACTTCTACCATTATCTCGCAACTAGTGTTTGCAAAACAATTTAGTACAAGATAATAAGCCAGATGCATCGATTTAACTTCACAAAGGCGAACTTGCTTTTTCCACTTTGTAAATTATCAGACCATGAATATAAGTTACCAGAGAAATTACTTGGTAGTTCACGTTCTATTTCAAACATATTGTTGAAGGAGGTTTCGATCAGTTTATATGTGCTCTTACAGGGAAATTGATCAGTCACACAGGAAGAGATATAAGATCAATGTTGAATCCAAAATAATGGAAAAAGAATTTACCGACAAATCTTTTGTTGCTTTCATGTTTTTGTAAATTGCTCGCAACAAACTAAACAACTCCTACTCTGTATTTTGACATGACTTGTCCAATGGGGAGCGCTGAACCTCATTGAACGGGATTAAAATTATGTTGTGAGGCGCATGCCAGAGTAATTCTGAACCGTAACGCTTGCTGCTTATTTGTGTCTACACTTCCATTCCTCACACAATCATATTCATTCTTTCTCTCTTGCCATGTTCTCTCTCTTGGTCACTGTCAGATATGCAATAATCAGTCGTGAAAAAATACATAGAGAAAGCAACACATATGACTGATGCACTATTAATGTGTTTAAAAAAGAAGAAAAAAAACAAAAAAGTACTTCTAAATTGCAAATTAAAGTAGATGACTGATGACTCTCATTCTAAGATATCATTCTCTTAATGGAAATGAATAATTATACAAGTTTCCTATTGACAGTCACATCAATTGCAGCATTTATAATTGCTTACAGAAGATGATAAATAGAATGTATTTCATACCGTTCGATACAAATTCAAAAGCAATTGAAGTCAATATTCAAAGTGGTAGGGAGTAAGACTGAAGATTCTGAGTGTTTACAAACTGATGTAGTTTTATGTTTAGAAAAAAAAGACCAAGTTATCTTCATTTGATATCGTTTGGTACAAAAAGTAATATCTTATCAAAATTATATGAAACATAGTTTTGTGTATTTTATTGAAAATAGTTATTAACATCACAGCTATCGAAAGTACGTATTTGTGGTCGAAGCAAAAATTATCATTTTGGGTGTGGGTGTGAGTTTACTGGTGACAGAAGAAAAGATACACCCACACCCAATTCATTCAACATTTACTGGTAAAAGAAAAACCTTCGTTTTTGATTCTATACCATGTTTTCTTCTTCCTTAGATTTCAGTCTCAAGATGGCAAGTGGTTCTGGTGCTGATCCAATTCACTCAACATTTACTAGTAAGAGAAAAAAACTTCGTTATGTTTTGTATAACATGTTTTATTTTTCTTTAGATTCCAATGTCAATATAACAAGTGGTCATGCTGGAATGTATCCAGTTCATAGAATAGGCACTGGTAAGACAAAAAACTTGTTTTCTGTTTGTATATCATGCGATTTTTTGTTTAGATTTTGACATCAATATCATCAGTCCATCGCAACAAGATAAAATCGGTTCAGGAAATCTGCTGACGCCTGATGAACAAACAATTGATGATGAAAAAGAGACAAAAAATAAACTTTTTGTTTGAAAAGAAACATTTTTTTTTGAATAAAAATCTGATGCTGTATTGCGTCCCTTGTTATCTTATTAATCTATGTATATAACAAAACATACGCATTTAAGTTTGAATATATCAGCAAATCATTATGATTTTAATCATGAATTGCAATTTGATCAAAAGACCAAAAATTTTATTTTAATGCATGAATATTAATTTTCAAAACATGAAGATTGTGTCATGACTGATTTTTATGCTTTAAATAGTATGGAAACGAGTGCCCACCTCACGTTTCTTTAGCTTATGGTACCGGATACTTTTTCTCGAGCTTTAACAATATTTTGATATTTGTATTGATTATATAAAACTTAAATAATTTAATCTTAAGTTCTATTCGTTTTATTCAATTAATTAGAAAAAAAATCAGAACTTCTCAACATAAGGAAAATATGTATGGAAATGTTGGGGAAGATTCAATTTGTCAATATCGTATATATAATTAACTTTGGCACAGTTGATTCGTGTTTTATCTCTTGTGAAGTTGTTAGTTACCTTTTGAAGAGAAGGGTAATAGACACTAAGACTAATATAATTTGATAGACATGCTTTAGTATCAATTAGAAATTGTTCGATGTAATCATCATGAGCCATGTCGAGACAAAGTAGAGTAAGATGAGAATATTTAATAACTGGCAAATTGCGATGGTCTTTGTTTAAATGTTGACATTGTTTGTGGTTTTGTGGTGACTGATTATCAATAGACAATGTTCCAAGCAATGGAAATGATTGAGCAATTCGAATGAAGAATTCGTGTTCAAAAGGATACTCATCATATAGTGAGACTTTATGAACAAACTTGAATAATCCACCTGGAAAACTATTTGTAAGTCGATACAAATAATTCATTGTATACGGTTGTGAATAAATATGACATTGACCAATCTGATCATCTGGAAGATAATGGATATAAGAAATGATTTGATAATCTTCG